CTTTATCCTTGACCTTTGGGAGTTTGATTATTAAATGTGTTGAAGCAGTCTTCTTTGTCTTGAAATTGATTTTATCTAATATAGGTATAGTTACACCTGCTCTGTTTTGGTTGTCACTTGCATGGAATATCTTTTTTCATCCCTTTATTCTCAGTCTATGTGTGTCTTTATAGGTGATGTGTGATTCTGAATTTCTTCTGTGTTATTTTGAATTTTGTTGAGCTTCCTCAAAACAGCTATTTTGAATTCTCTGTCTGAAATATCACAGATCTCTATCTCTCTGGATTAGTCACTGGTGCCTCATTTAGTTTGTCAGGTGAGGTCATGCTTTCCTGAATGGTCTTGATGTCTGTAGTTGGTCTTTGATGTCTGGGCATTAAGGAGTTTGGTATTTATTATAGTCTTTTGTAGTCTAGAAGCTTATTTGTACCTATCCTTCTTGTGAAGGCTTTCCAGGTATTCAAAGGGACTTGGATGTTGTAAGTCTTTGGTTACTGAATCTGTGTCTGCTTTAAGTTAACTCCGAGTTCAGTAATACTGTGGCTCTTGCAGACTTGTAGAGGTACTGCCTTGATGGTCTTGGATAAGATCTAGAAGAATTCTCTGGATTACCAGGCAGAGACTCTTATTCTCTCCCCTTACTCTCCCCAAAAGAAATGGAGTCTCTCTCTCTCTCTCTGTGATGGAGGAGGGGTGATACAAGGCACCCTGTGGCCACCACCACTGGGTAGACTCAAAGCCACAGAGTACTGGGTGTTGCTCAAGGCCCACAGTGACCATTGCCTGGCTATTGACTACATTCACTCAAGGGCCGAGGGCTCTATAATCAGCTGGTGGCACATCCAGCCAGGTTTGTGTCCTTCCCTTCAGGGTGGTGAGCTCCCCCAGCCCCAGGCAGGTCTGGAGATGCCACCCAGGAGCCAGTGTCTAGAGTTGAGAACCTTAAGAATCTACCTGGTGCTCTATTTTACTGCACCTGAGCTGGCACCAAATCCACTCTTTTATTCCTTTTCCTTAAGCAGAAGGGCCTCTTCTTATGGCCACCATTGCCCCTGGTCTGTGGTGAGTACTGCCTGGCTACCATTGATATTTATTCAAGGCCCAAGGCCTCTTTAGTCAGCTGCAGTGAATGCTGCCTGTCCCGAGTCTCTCCTTTCAGGGCAGTGGGCTCCCCTCTGTCCCAGGACAGGTCTAGAAATGTCATTCTGGACCCAACACCTATAACCAGAGCTCCAAGAGCCCAGTTGGTGATCTACCCCACTGTGCCCAACCTAGTATGCAAGCTGCAAGAAAAAGTCCCCTTTATTCTTCCATCTCCTTTCCTCAAGCAAGAGCTTTTTCCCATAGCTACTACAGCTGGGAATGTGCCAGGTAATAGATGAAGCCAGCACAGCTTTGAGTCTCACCCAAGGCCTGTAACAAGTACTGCCTGGCCACCACTGGTGAATATTCAGGGCCCAAAGACTCTTTAGTCAGTGGGTGATGTATTTTGCCAGGACTGGGTCTTCTTGTTCAAGGCAGCAGGTTCCCTTCTGGCCCATGTTCACTGGACATGTTTCCATGACCTAGGGCCTGGAATGGGGACCTCAGGACTCTGCTTCATTTCTTATCCTACTATGGCTGAGCTGGTATCTTAAGTTGTAAGACAAAGTCCTCTTTACTCTCCCCTCTTCTCTCCTCAAGCAGAAGGAAGGAGTCTCTCCTGGAGCTGTGAGCTGCGCTGCCTGGGGTTGGGGAAGGGGTAACACAAGCCCTCCCTTGGCTGCCCTAGCTAGTGTCTCACTAGGTTACATATTCCCTAAGTCCACTGGCTTTGAGCCCAGCTTGGCACCAGTACTTGCCCAGAAATTGCAGTCTGTGTTGCCTAGACTGCCTTGCAAGTTTGTTTAGAAGCCCAGAGCCCTTTAGCCAATGGTGGCAGGGCTTGTTGGTACTGAGGTCCCAACCATTGAGATGGAAGATTTACCCCTGGCTAGGACTGGTATAAATGCTTCCTCCATAGGCTCTGGTGGAGCTCTGCCCCATGTTGCTTTCCACTGTGACAGGGCAGCACTGAGTTCCAATGCAAAGTCCTACAATCACTGTGCTCTGCCTCCCTTAAGCACACAGATTCTCTCTCTGTGCCTTGAAGCTGCTGCCAGGGAATTGGGGAGGGGAGGTGTAGGCGATTCAAGAATGTCTTTCCTGTTTTCTTTAGTGCCCCTTTCCTTAATGTGATGTTAAAACCAGGTACTATTATAGCTCACCTGAGTTTTTGTTCTTATGAAGGGGATTTTTTGTGTGGATAGTTGTTCAGTTTGGTCTTCCTGTGAGGGAGATGATTGCTAGAGGTTTCTGTTTGGCTATCTAGCTCTGCCTCCTCCCTAACCATAACTATTTTAAATTCTTCTGTTAATTCCAAAATTTCTGACATGTCTAAATCTGGTCCTGATTTTTTTTTTTTTTTTTTTTTGGTCTCTTTAGGCTGTTTTTTTCCTTTCCTTTTTAAAAGACGCTTTTCAAGTAGAACAGACTGTTTTATGCCTTTATTATGTCTTCTAATTTTTGTTTAAAGCCTGACATAATACATTGGCTAAAAAATGGTCATAAATAGTCCATTAGCGTAAGGTTTTATGTGACTTGGCTAGAAGTTAGACCATGTTCACTGTTTGATGTAGCTGCACCAGAGGCAAAAATTTTCTTTAATGTTTTGTTTTTGACTCCCTGGTTGTCTTTGGGTTTCCCTAGAGACTCTGTCTCAAATTGAGTCTGAGACGTCTAGTGCTTTCATCTATAATCTCCTGTTCATCCATAGTAGCCTCAAAATGTGTTGGTAAGGTGCCAGGGAAGGAGAAGCATTGTGTAGTCATATGATTAGGTCTCAGTCTTTTATTGTGCTTGTCTCCCTGGACTGTGGCCTTCACAAATGCTTCTCAGATTTTTTTTTTTTCCTTAACTTTTCTTTTAGGTTCAGGGATACATGTGCATGTTTGTTATATAGGTAAATTGTGTGCCACAGGGGTTTGGTGTGTAGATTACTTCATCGTGTAGGTAAAAACCATAATACCATAGTACCTGATAGGGTAGTTTTCTGATCGTCACGATTCTCCCTCCCTCAATTCTTAAGTAGGCCCCAGTCTCTGTTGTTCCCTTCTTAGTGTCCAACATTTTCCCCCTCTTTGATCAGATAGGAAAGTTAGAGGGCTCCGGAGCTGAGTATCTTCCTCTGCCACAAGGAGGGCTAGGCGAGACTGGAGTTGGGTATTTCTCTTCCCTCAAGTTGGTTAAGCTCTTGTAAACCTAAGTTAGTCAGGCTCTGGTAAAACAGTTTCCCTTAAGACAGGCTTTTGCTAAGAACAGAACACTTTGGGAATATTTCAAAATGCTTACTTTTACCTCTCTCATGTTGAAAGTCTGAGGGGATTTTTCTCTAATCTTCACTCTGAAAACTTCATGGGGTTCTTGGAAGAAAAACCCAGGGAAGTGTGGAGGTCTCCCTAAGGCCTCTGAGAATTTTTAGCCCTCAGCCTCATTCACACTTAGCCTCTGGCATGTCTTCATTTACAGTTTGCATTCCTACTGGTATTAGCTTCACTGACAGGTTTCTGCTCCTGGTAAGCTGTGATTCTGTGTTTTTCTGTCTCTGTAATATTTTGGTAGCAGGTTGCAGTATGACTTCAAGTTTCTGATGAATCTAAGAAAAATTCTTGATTTGTCAGTTCATCTTTTTTTTCTGGTTGTGAGGATGGGACTGACAACTTCAAAACTCTGTACATATTAAGACTAGTGGTATTGATTTTTAGTAAATTGATCTTGCATCTAGGAATTTTTCAGAAGTCTCTCATTATTTTAATTATTTGTTGATTTTATTGCATTTCCATTTCACCTGTAAATAATTAAAATTTTGTATCTTTCTTTCCAATTATTGTATCTTCTATTCTTTTTTTATTGCATAGGAGTCTTCCCTCATTAACTTCTAAAGCTCTATAAATTATTCAGTATAATGGCTATGTATTAAGAATAAGTTAACTATCTCCTGACTCTTTGAGGCTTTTATAATCAATTTTTTTTATTATTTATAGAGCTCTTAAGTGATTTATTCTCCTAGGAATTTAGAATTCTCACCCTCTGATGTATAATTTTTCATCTCTACTTGAAGATTTAGTGCCCTTTTTATTTATTTTTAAAAGATGCGGGTTTTGACATTAAGATTAAAATATCAGATTAATAGTTTTCATTGGTTTCATTTTGACTGAAGAATGATAGCCGAATTTTACTTTTCTGCATGTATTGAGATAATCATATAACTAAACAAAAACTATTAATGTAGTAAATTAGTTTAATTTTCTAATATTAAATCATATTTGGATTCCTGTAATAGATTAAAGTTGGTCATGGTATATTATTATTTTTCATATATGTTTCTGGATTTGGTTTGCTAATGATGTATAATTTTTTTCTTGACACTTCCAGATATATACAGCTTCCTCCTTTCAGATATTTAAAGAGTTAAAATAATCTTCTTGACTGTAAACAAAGGCTTTTTTTCCAATATGTCTTTCTCTCTCTTTCTAAGAAAAATCACCCCATTGCTATATTAATAGCTCAATTTACCTTTTATTATATAGTTTATAAATTCTATTGATAGTTAATTTTTTGGAAATTTATGTGTTGGTTCTGATCAATGTTATTAAGGGAGTTAGTTTTCATTATGTGAAATCCTCACAATACCATGTGCACATGATAGTTTGTGGTATTTTATTAATGTAATGTAGTCAAATTTTTTGAAGCTATGAAAGTATTCATTAAATAATTTAACAAATATTTGTTGAATATCTGCTATGTGTCAATTATTATTCTAAATGCTGAGGTTTCAGCAATAGGAAAAAGAAAAATCCCTGTCCCAACCAGGCATCTTGGTAATAGTCTTAGGACCTAATGATGGCATCAGAATAGAAATAACTTTATTGTGATGTCCCACAATTCACACAGGAAATGATTTTTGCTAGTCATTTAATGCCTAGGGCTAAAATCCCTTTTAATCAATGATAAAAAACAAATACACTACTTATAATCAATAAATAAAAAACAAATTTGACTTTCTTACTACTACTACTAGTCCTTTTTGATTACAGTTTATGTAAACATAAAGTATTCATAATAAAAAATGTGATACAAATAAATCTATAAAATTATTTGCTATTATGTATATATAAATATTTTTCAAATGGCTTAGATATATTTTGACATTAGTATACTAAATGAATTTGTAGCACACTCTAAAAGTGTTTCTTAAAATGCTTACAAGTACAAATATGGATCTTTTCATATTAAAAATTAATAGATTATTCAAAAACAGAAAATGGTATACTCATTTTGATTAATATTTAACAACTCAAGTAGTGTTAATCAAGTAATTAGGAAACTTACAACTTTTACACATTAACTTTTACATTATAATGATCTTTATAATAGACAATAAGTATAGTAAATTCTAATAAATGTTTACCAAATGTGTATAACCTTGAATTTGAGTTGTAATATAATTTCTAGTTTAAAATATATATGAAATCACAGCTAATCCAAAAATTACAAAACTGATGGCAGAAATATTGGTACCCAGATCAGGACTGCTGGGTTTTGGTGGAGGAATGAATTTAGTTGCTTGTGCAATGTTTGAAACCTCTGAGGTGAGACTGGCTTCACCGGTGGCTTGAATTGCAATATAGAATGTGGTGCCATTCTCTATTTTAGAATATCCTGGTTTAAATCCAAAATTTTCTACTGAGCCAGCCTCCTTAGGTATCAGACCAGAAGTATTTATTAAAGCAGCTTTATCAAAATCTTGTTGGAGGTCCCGGAAATATTTACTTATTCTTATGATGTAGCTGTCAGCTGGAAAACAAATAGATACTTCAGGTATATTAAAATTACTGGGATGCCTTGCTGCCACCACACTGCCTTACATTTAGAAATGTATCAGAAATGCACTCTAGATTTTATTTATAGAAATCCCATTCGTTTTTATCTGGTTATTCCATCTTCATTGTAAGGACAAATGCATAAATAGTTTTTCTTAAAATGCATAGTTCTTAATCCCAGAAAATTTTAATTGAAAATCATATGGTACTAAAAAGCCAAAATCTAGATTCCTTTTTAAAAAGAGAAATATAAGGTGCTTAATCTACTTTTTAATTTAGAACAAGTAACATAATAGTATTGTAGTATAGTGAAGATATTCAGTATCCCATATCTGTGTCATTTCTAATTAAGTTAAAAGAAGAAGTAATAGGACAGGGGAGAAAGAGAGATGATAAATAGAGTGGGAAACAGGGATAAGGATAACCAGCAAAAGGAGGCAGAGAGATTGGAATGTGTACTACTGAAACATGTGCTAAGCAGAAAGACAAACATCGCATGTTCTCACTTATTTGTGGGATCTAAAAATCAAAACAATTGAACTCATGGACATACAGAGTAGAAGAATGGTTCCTAGAGGCTGGGAAGTGTAGTCGGTGGGGCTGGGTAGGAGAAGGTGGGAATAGTTAATGGGCACAACAAATAGAAAGAATGAATAAGACCTAGTATTTGATAGCACAAGAGAGCGACCATAGTCAATAGTCAATAATAACATAATTGTATATTTAAAAATAACTAGAGGAGTGTAGTTGGGTTGTTTGTAACGCAAAAGATAAATGCTTGAGGGGATGGATATCCCATTCTCCATAATGTGGTTATTTCACACTGCATGCCTGGATCAAAATCTCATGTGCCCCATAAATATATGTACCTACTATGTACCCACGAAAATAAAAAATTTAAAACATAAAAATAAAAAATAAAAGTAAATATGTGTTAAGGACCTAGGCAGACCTTGAGTAACACCCTCGTTTTACTACTAGCTAGCTGTGTAATAAAAAGAAGTTTATTTAAGCTTTCTTATCTCTAGTTTTTTATCTATTAAAATAGAGATTCAGTTATTTAATTCATTCAACAAATATTTATTGAGTGCCTACTATTCTAGTGGTAAGAATTATAGATGATAATGCATGAAATATGTTTACTATGATTTAATAAATTGTAAACTAGTAAATGTTTGAAATATCAGCTTTTATTTTATCAAGAAAGGAAAAGAATATGCCAACATAAATGTTTCTTTCTATACTGCTTTTTGATATCTACCATTCGTATAAAAATACATTCTCACATCTTGAAATGTGATGAAAAATAAAACATCAGATACTCTTTTTTGAAGTAAAGACTTTGTTTTTAACTTTTCCATGAAATGTTGAAAGTATTTCAAGTGTGTGGTGAATAACTTTTAGTGTATTTTTAAAAAGATTTCAGATCCTCTGCTTAACATTTAGTTTCCTCTTAAATAGGCCTTATCAATCCATTCTATTACTCTTCTCAAAAACCCTGTGTTCCACTTAGGCAGGTCTCTCTCTCTCTCTCTCTCTCTCTCTCTCTCTCTCTCTCTCTCCTCTCTACCTATCTATTCTGTATTTTAATTCAGATATTCCATTGTGAAATTTTGCTTTCTTGACCTTGATCATACAATTTTGTTCTTTCTCTCTCCAAAATGTGCCTCCTTCTCCCTGTGGTTGCAGATTGTACTCATTCTTTACGTTCCAACCAAGTCCAACTGCGTGAAGTCTCATCCAAGCATTTCATTCACCCTGATGACTCTCTTTCATGAACTTCTGTTTCATGGTATGGAGTTTTTCAGATAGTTTATAGAGGTTCAATTTTTCATTCTGATTAGATCTGATAATTTTTGAGGGCAAAGCTATGTTCTGCACTCTTTGTATCACTCAGGATGCCTGGTCCTCTGTTGGCATGTATTTGATCTCCTTAATTACTTGGCAACAGTATGGTTGTTGACACCCAAAATGATGGAATTAGAAAATCATAAAATATAAGAATTATATCTACTTGTTTTAGCAGTTTTAGGTTATCTAGTCTAATTTGTATATCTGATAGGCATGGAAATTGTGTAGCAGGTAATTTAAGTGCTTCATTTAGGATTATATAGATGTTCATTTTTTCTTTAAGATACTGTTACTACCTTAATTTTGGAATGTCTACAGGTAACATTTAGCAGGTACCACTACCTCTTCCTATTTTTCCTAAGGAAAGACAAAGATTAGATCCCACTTGTTTTAGGCATTTGTGGTTATACATTATTCCTACTTTTAGTTCTTATAATCATCATGAGGGATATTTATTATGAACCCAATCTTGAACTGAAAGCTTGGTTTTTACTGAATTCACTATAGAACTAAGTATTTGGTCAAGAAATTTCATTTGTGGCTTTTCACTGGCAATAGTGGGGATTTTGCCATAGGTTTAAGGGTCATCGCATGAGAAAATAAGGTATTTCGAAAGCTGTCATAAGATTTTCAACACTGAAATACAAAAGCTCTGTTTGTGCATATTTTCTGTTTCCTCTGGCTTTTGAATGATTTTCTCTTTGTATATTAATGATAATGAGAAATGCAGCTTTGAAAATGCTATATATTGAGTGAAAGAAGCATCTTTTCTTTTGAGAGTGTACAATAAGGGGTTTATTGTAACCCAGGAGAAACAGTACTGAATACTGATGTTTTAGCACTGGCAATCTCTGAGTTATTTTGTATATTTAGATTGCATATTGCTTTCATTTTTCCCAATCTCAAAAGGAAAATAGCAAGACTGGCTTTATTCCATAAAAGTCTACTAATCTATGTAATACTGGAATGTGGTAGGCATTCAATAAATACTGATTGAATTCATTTAAATTTCAAGCATTGATAGAAGTAATGTAAACTTTTTGGAATTAGGGTAGTTTATTATTAGGAACTTTGATTAAATATCTTTTGACCCTGAACTTTATTCAAACTCCATGAACAAATCTTTCAAACAAGTGAGTTTCTGTGCACATGAACATCTCTCTCTGTGGGACACCTTCACTTATCTTGGGTAACTACTTTTATTCTTCAATATTCAGGGATAGTCTACCCTGGGAAGGCTTTATGATATATTCTGTGATTTCAACCTCTAACTAGGGGTTTGTGGCCCATCTATGGGTTGCCACATGATTCTCTGTTTATAAATGCATATGTCTTATTATACTTTATGTAATTATCTGTTTACTTGTGTGCCTTCTGTATTTAATTGTTGAGAGTATGGATCTTTCTTAGGAACTTAACAGTGTGACAGCTCAACAGAAGGTTGACACATGAATGAAACTGCAAGTATAGAAATACTTAAAATTTGGGGAGAAGATAATGCAACAGAAAGCTGTTAACTGTCTTATCAAAGTAATTTCTAAGATGCTTCAATTTCTGACAGTTTGGCATAATAGAATCTGATATGATGGGTTAGAATTGTAAGTTATGAAACATAGAAATAACTTGGTCCAGTTATCTCTTACAGCTTCAGTTTTCACATCTGAAAATAATTAAATAATGGCATATAGTAGACACTTCATAAATTTTATTTATAAATGGGACATTAGAAAATTCTTAGCAAATGAAAGGCAGTGGGATTTCTTTTAGTGTATTTTAAAACGTAATGTCAAACTTACCTCTTCCTTTATCGAGGACCTTGCCAGGGGCAGTCCATGAAAGTTGAATATGATCTCCTTGAAACTTAGCCTCGAGGTCTACAATTTTACCAGGTGGGAACACCTGAGAAGAATTACTATTAGGCGGTACTCCTGATACAATAAATGACTCTCCAGAGGTGAGTCTGCTGAAGTCGTCTATTTGAGCTTCTGCCACATCATCTTTGGCTTCAGGTTTGGGTGGGTTCAGTATAATTTTTCCTACCAAGAAAATAATTTTGTAACATTTCATATTGCAATGTTTACTCTTTTTTCTTTTCTTTCTTTTTTTTTTTTTTGGAGACGGAGTCTTGCTCCGTGATCAGACTTGAGTGCAGTGGTGCAGTCTCAGCTCACTGCAACCTCCGCCTCCTTAGTTGAAGCCATTCTCCTGCCTCAGCCTCCCGAGTGGACGGGACTACAGATACTCGGCACCACACCCGGCTAATTTTTGTGATTTAAGTAGAGACGGGGTATTGTCAAGTAGGCCAGGCTGGTCTGGAACTTCTGACCTCGGATGCACTTGCCTCGGCCTCCCAAAGTGCTGGGATTACAGGAGTGAGCCACCGTGCCCGGCCGCCATGTTTATTCCTTTTGCAAGCTGATCTTGCAACTGTAAAGGATTAATTTTGATTGATAGCAGACATTGAAAACATAACAGCTTTTAGTGAGAAAAAGCTAGTTTAGTGATATTTAAAAATTGATGAGGAAACCTTATGCTATGTTAAAACTATCTTTTAGCCAATCTATCTCTACTACTTGGCTGAAAATTCTTTGAGGACCAGGATTATGTTTTATTTATCTTTGCAGCTCTAGCACCTAGCACAGTGTTTGCAATATAGTAGGTGCTCAGTAATTTTTTCAATGTAAATGAAATGAACTCGGGTATATGAACAAAATATGTGGAAACATAGGTCTATGCTAGGTCCACAAATGCCAATATGGTTTTGAAACATACAGATGATTACAATGTTATATACTTGGGCTTTCTGTAGTACATTATGTTTTCGATGTTTGCCGTATGCAATTTGTCTAAACAACTGACACATTTCTGTTTTACTGCTACTTACCATTTTCAACATAGCCCGGTATGTACAGAGCTTTATTCTGTTGTTGTCTTAAACTTAGCCTAGCTGTGTTTTTTCTTGCCTGGACATGCACTTTTAAACTGTATCTACCATTTCTATGGTAATCTGTAAAATATCTTGAGTAGATGCCATCATTCTTGACAGTGTCAGCACCTTGATAACAAAATATAATAATGAGTCATCCAATAAAGTAAAAATGACAATCATATCTGTTTATGAACACTGATGATGTCAGTAATTTGGGAGATAGTATGTAGCACAGTGTTTTAAGTACATGAATTCTGGAATCAGACATTTTGGTTGAAAGCTTGGGCCACCTGCTAACTCTGTTTTTGGAAAAGTCTAATTGATGGTAGGCATTCAATTAATATTAGCTGTTACTATTATTTCATTACAAAGTACTTATTAAATTAAGAAAAATAAAGCAACTGGAGAAAGCATATATGAAACACTGACATTAATAAAATGGAAATTTTGCTATTAAGTTCCATGCAAAAAGTAAAATTGTTCATAAAATTTAAAAATGGCAAATGTGCTATGTTTATGAGTTGTCAAGATAACTGAGAAAAAAGTTTTAAAAACATTAGGATTAAATTTCATTTACTTAATTATGTGATTTATTAGCAAATACAGAAAATATTGACTTCTAGGTCATAGAACTGTAGGAAGATTTTAAGTTTAGTGAAAGTTGATGCAGATTCTTATTACCTGCACCATTGTCCCAGAGCTCCAATGTTACTTGACGTCCATCTTCATTTTCTATAATGGCTGTTACATTGATTCCCAGAACAGGCAGAAACCCTTGACTGACTCGTGCATAAACAATCATTGGGCTAGGGTAATGAGCTGTATTTCGATTCATGTGAGCAGTTGCAATTACTGGGAGTGTGGTAGGGCTTCTTGCTCGAGTGGTCATTGTGACAGTTAGCAACTGAGATTGGGCGTGATTATTTCGAAGGCTGTAAGTCCAAGTGCCTGTCTGAAACATTAAAAGAAAAATCCATCCGAGAGCTTTGGTAATATTTCCTTCTCCTTGTTTGGAATACAAAATTATTTACAAATTTAAGCAGAATAATAATCATGATTTTTAATATCCGATTTCACAAACTAATAAATAGTATAAATATGAATCCCTAATTATTCAATTAGATTTCTTTATTACAGATGAACTGTCATCATTTTAATATTGGCTGTATATAAGATCTTATTTATGTTATTCTCATCCTTAAAAAATAGAGACTGATTAAGAAAGCATATAATAGACCTACCTCTGCAATACCTGGTATTCGAAGACGAGCAGACCGAATATTTAGTTTATCTTCTTGGAAATCCAAGGTAGTGAATTTTTTCCCTTTTGGACCTTGAAGAATTATTTCTGGCTTTTGTATTGTCCATGTGACAACAAAAAAAGTATCATTTCCAACTGTACTATCCACAGGCACTGTACCATTTACCCATTTCTTCTCCGGGATATTCAAAGCTTTACTTTCCAACTGTTTGGTAAATAAAAACAACAAACACATAAAATCCATTTGTTATCATAGTTAATAAGATTTCTGAGTTTAGTCGGTTTAGAGTAATTTTAAATTTGTTTTTAAGATTTTAATTAAGATAACTAAGAATTGTTTTAAAGAATTTTCCAAATAAAAAGCGTATCTAATTCTAAAGAATAGAAGAATTCAAGAAAAAAGGTGGCTCTAAGTGTTATGGAAAAGCAAATTCATAAGGATGTTTTTCTTCTGCATATCTGAAATATTTTTGGGCAAAAAATTATCTATTAGATAAATGAGTTAATAATTAGCATAATAGACATTTATTACAACTGTGATAAAGAAAATAATTTTTTTTTATTATACCTACCTGAAGAGCCTGTTGAAAGATGCTACCACTTCTAGATGAAATTCTGCTGAAAGCATCAATAAGGCCATTTATGTCATTATGGGCATAAAAACGATGTCCTCCTAAAATGAAATTTTAAGTGGAAAAATCATATTCGTTATTTTGCTTTCATCAATACACTTTAAAATCTATTTTTGAATAGTGTTTTAAACTTACAAAAGCACTCTGTGAACTTTCAGTATACCAGTGTCCCTTATGTAATCCTACATTAATGACTAAAACCTTGCTCAAAATAAGAAAGATAAGTAAGAATAAAAGAAGCTTTAAAGAATGAGTCAAATTACATTGTTTTTACATCAATCAGTCATCAAATGTAAACACCTGCCGCATCGATAAAGCTGGTCTAAGCACTAAATAATGTCATAAAAATGAAATTTAAGATAGTTCTTCTGAACCAGCTGCTTATTTTCTATTTGTGTCTAAGGTACACCAAAACAATTAGAGAATTATAGTCTACAATAAAGTAAAAATTAAGTGCAGGAAATAAATGGTGTTGAAATTAATGAAGAGAGAGATTACTTAGGTGTAAGGAGTTAGGAAAGAACAGATTGCAGAGGGCAAGAATTAACACAGGTGACTGTCATAAGTACAACAATCAATACATATTTATTGAACTGATAAATGGCAGAAAGATAAGGTGTAAGTTTATTGAAGTCTCCCAATCAGGGAGTTGTGAGGGCTGGTTTATACTGGCAGTGGTAGAAGGATTGTATAGAAAGGCGAAATATAGAAATGTTCCAAACTAAGATTTAGCAAGATTTGGTAAAGCAGGAATAGGATAGTATGCTGGAAAGAGCTTTGAATTGATACTCAGGACTCTATGGCCTTTGGCAAGTCATTTGCACTCTCTAGGTTTCCATTTACTCATCTATAAAAGAGGATTGTCTAAATCTCTACTGTGCAATTGAGTAGTATTCTGGAATTGAGCAATAATTTTTGACTTCCAGTTGAGTAACCATAGAGAAAAGAGTTTCTGTTTGGTAGCATTGGCAGAAAGTAGGTGGGAGAATAAAGACAGCAAATGTTAAATAATATTATAAAAAAATTGGCATATGAAGTGAAAGAAATGGAGAAGACCTTAATCTAAAGGATGAAGAATGGACAAAGATTAATTTTTAGGATAGAAAATTTTTGAGCAGATTTATAGAGAAAGAGCCCCTGGAATAAGAGAGGCTAGACATTTATTTTTTATTCAAACTATATTCCACAGGTTTACTTGTCATATTTGACAGGGTCTCCAGTTCTTTCTCAGCAGATGGTCCCAGAGCAATGGTGTGGATGATTGCACCACTTTGTTTTACCTCTTCGAAGCATGAGCTTATTTGATCATCTTCCCCATCTGTTAGTAATATGATTTCAGAACCCAAAGTACTCTGGTTACTCTGGGAAATTGCCTGATAATGAAAAAGCCAGGTTATTATTTATAGAATGTCATATCTTTATGTATAATGTAATATATATATATATATATATATATATATATATATATATATATATGTGTATTTTTGAGATTGAGTTTTGCTCTTGTTGCCCAGGCTGGAGTGCAATGGTGTGGTCTCGGCTCACTCCAGCCTCCACCTCCTGGGTTCAAGTGATTCTCCTGCCTCGGCCTCCCAGTAGCTGGGATTACAGGCACCCAACTCCATGCTGGCTAATTTTTATGTTTTTGTAGAGATGGGATTTCACCATGTTGGCCAGGCTGGTCCCAAACTCCTGACCTCAGGCGATCCACCTACCTTGGCCTCCCAAAGTGCTGGAATTATAGACGTGAGCCACCATGCCTGGCCCATATCTTAATATATTTAAAATAAGAATAAACCTGTTCTTCTAGTCCTCACATCAGAGTAAGCAAAAGGAAACTCTGTGAGGTCATTTCAGGCTGAATTGGCATATGGAAATGAGTGTAATTTACAGTTGTCTTGTAAGTTTTCAAAGCTAGAGTGTTAATACTTCTTCTAATCCTCTTAAATATACTCTTGCTACCAAAGAGAGGAATAATAAGCACATAGAGCAATGCCTGACACATAGTAAGTATTCACTGACTATTAGCTATTATTGTTGTCAGTATTACCTAAGCGATACTTGGGGTGGAGGCAAGTGACCCAGACAGTTCTAAAAGACTGCAGACTAGATAGCATCTGGAAAGTCATGACCAAAGGTGGGTGTGCAAGTTTAAATTGTGTTATATGCTCTTTAAAAATGCATTTTATTTGGTCACTTCTGAAGTATCTCAGAATTTCCTGGAAAAAAAACTTTGACCTGCCACAAAGAAGAAAGTTACTAATTTTGTTAATTAATACAAATGTTTGTTTTTCATCTTTCCTAAGTTCTACCAAGAGATTTGGCATTAGATACCTTGAGAGTAAATTCCAGCTCTGCCATTTGTTAAATAGAATAGGTAATGTTTAGTTTTTCTCAAGACTTTCTATGAAAGTCTATACATGTATATTATATAGTATATACATGTATGTATTATATACATTTATAATAGAGTTTTATAGATAGATTAGTGTAATGATTAAGTTTATAGACTTTGGGATCAGAAAGACCAGGTTTTTAATCTCATATCTGCCAATTATTGACTATATAATACCGAGAAAGGTTTAATTACTCTGCATTTCAGTTTCCTTATCTGCAAAATGGGCATAGTAATATTATCCAACTCACAGAATAATGGTAAGGATAAAATAAGACCATGCATGTCTTATTTAGCATAGGCAATAACATATAATGTGGTCAGTAAATGTTAGCTATTGTTAGAATTTTGTAAGTAAAATGGTTATATATTGATTGGTTTTATTATGTAAGTAATTAAGGGCAGTTTATTGCTCTGAATGTGATTTGACACCATTATTCAGCATTAGACTTTGTGGTCAAGGTATCATAAGATATATATAAAGGTTGGGTACAGTGGCTCACACCTGTAATCCCTGTACTTTGGGAGGCTGAGGCAGAAGACTGCTTGAACCTGGGAGCTGGAGGTTGCAGTGAGCTGAGATCATGCTACTGCACTCTAGCCTGGGCAACAAAAGTGAAACTCCATCTAAAAAACAAAAGAAATATATACATATATATGTTTAAAAATATATGAACCAATATGTGTAAACATTTTAACTTATTCCCAATGTACAGTGCCTGTCATTAGAAGTGAATAGACATATATAATAAGAATGATAATTATTATAATAGTAAACATTTCTTAAACATTTATTTATCTTACATAATTCCCACAATTAAATGAGATAGGTACTGTTATAATCCACATTATCTCTGTTGAGGAAGCAGATGTTGAGTTGACTTAGTTACTCAAGGTCATTTAATTTAGCTAACGTATATTACAGCCAAGATCCCAAGTTTGTCCTCATCCAGGGCCTGCCTTCTTAAACTAACACATTTCATCAGAAATAGACACTATGAGGAAAGTTGAGATGTAGTATTAATCAGTGGCCTGGATAAGACTAGCAATTTACACTTTGAGGCAAGGAGAGGCCATTGAAGGAAGTAGTTTTCTGTTTTTGTAACTTAAAACATGACAATAAATAGACTTAAATAAAAGTTAGGTTAGAAGGAATTCAAATGAATACTGGAGGCAATTGGGTATCGTGCTCAAAGAGCGCTCCCAATTTTTTGAGTTCACAATTTTAATTATAATTATATTAAACTTCAATCTCTGATTGTTAGGTTTGGTACTATAGTGCTTAACAGCTAACTCTATAACTATTTTTTCTTTTCCTTTTTTTTTTTTAAGACAGGGTCTTGCTCTGTAGCCCAGGCTGGAGTGCAGTGACATGATGACCGCTCCTTGCAATCTTCGCCTCTGGAGCTCAAGCAATCTTCCCACCTCAGCTCCTCAAGTAGCTGGTGCTACAGGCGTGGACCAGGATGCCTGGCTAATTTTTGTATTTTTTGTAGAGGCAAGCTTTCCCAGAGCTGGCCAGGCTGGTCTCCTACTCTTGGGCTCAAGCGATCTACTTGCCTCAGACTCCCAAAGTGCTAGGATTCAGGCGTGACCTGCTGTATCCAGCTTATTTTTGTGATTATTACATTTTTAAATTTTTTAAATGTATTTTTTATTTTTCTGAGATGGAGTCTCACTCTGTTGCCCAGGCTGGAGTGCAATGGCCCGATCTTGGCTCACTGCAACCTCCACCTCCTGGGTTCAAGCGATTCTCCTGCCTCAGCCTCCAGAGTAGCTGGGATTATAGGCCTGCACTACCATGCCCAGCTAATTTTTGTTTTCTAGTACAGATGGGGTTTCATCATGCTGGTCAGGCTGGTCTCAAACTCCTGACCTCAGGTGATCCACCTTCCTCAGCCTCCCAAAGTGCTGGGATTACAGGCATGAGCCACCATGCGGCCTCTTTGTGATTTTTAAATGTCAATTTAACTTGATAAACTGGGGCTTTCTTTATCCATCATATTGAAATATTACTAATTTATCTCTTCCATAATCCCCTTAGTGGCATTACTTTCTTCTCCTTGACACCCAGACTGTGGGAGTGTTAGAGAAATGGGGAGCTCCCCAATAAAATCATAATTGTGTACAGACTGGAATTTTCCCCCCTTGCTTAACCACTCCCTAGTGCAACTTAGCACCTCAGGAGTATGTCATTGGAATAGCCATACTCACAGAGGGTCTAGCTGTAAACAGATAGTAGGAGAAGCTATATTTTTTCTTCTCATAAAGGATTTACCTTGATCAGGTCACAATATTGTTAAATGAGGGGCCCATGAACTCATGCCCTTTTTTTCAAAAGTAATTTGAGAAAATTAAAAGCGATAGTAATTGGCAAATGATATTTTAAAACTGTATTTATTTTACCTGAAATCCTGCTTTAAGTCCATTGCAAATTGAAGTGCCACCACGAGCTTCTTGAGGCAGGTTTGCAGTGATCATTTGATAAGTGTTATCATCAGTTATTTTTATGAGATTATTTTGGATTTGAGCATGACTGTCAAATGTGACCATCCCAACGAAGGACCCTTTTTCAATAATTTGAATCAAGTACAGTTCTGCTGCTTGATTCATTCGAAAGAGACGGTCTTCCTATAAGAAAAAGATGTGTGAATAACAGACAAGACTCTCCAAATCTTAATGAATTAATGAACAAATCATTTATGGGCCATAGATCATGATAATAATTGATTGGTTGTATTTTAAAATTTAGCTTCTTCAATTTAAAAATTTTAAAGAAAATTAAAAAAAATCAGTTTTACTTGGAAAAGCCTTAACAATCTATACATTTTTATTTAATGGTTTTATATTGAGGATTTTATCCTAAAGAAATAATCTTAAAAATACATAAAAAGATATTCATTTTAATAATAACAACTGAAAATCTCCCAACTGTCCAACAACAGGGGATTGCTTGATTAAATTATAGTATGGGCATGTTATATAACCACTAAAATTATGTCATGGAATCATTTTTTTTATGGGAAGTATTGAAGGTATATTAAGTAAAAAAAATCAGATTATGAAACATTATATAAAATACATTTTTGAGGAGGACAAACAAATACATTAGCAAAGAAAATACTAAAGTGTTGTATTTACAGTGACAGAATTATGGATGATTTTCATTGTTCCACTATAATTTTTCTAATTAGAATTAAAAGCTAAGGGATATAAATTATTCATAATCCAATAACCTTAATATAATAACATTTTTTTTTTTTTTTAGATAGAGTCTTGCTCTGTCACCCAGACTGGAGTGCAGTGGCACAATCTTGGCTCACTTCAACCTCCAGTGAGGTTGCAACCAGGTTCAAGTGATTTTCCTGCCTCAGCCTTCCAGGTAGCTGGAATTACAGATGTGCGTCACCACACCCAACTAATTTTTGTATTTTTGTAGAGATGGGGTTTCATCATGTTGGCCAGGCTGGTCTTGAATTCCTGACCTCAGGTGATCCACCCACCTCAGCCACCCAAAGCATTTACAGACCTGAGCTACCATGCCCAGCCTACAACATTTTTATGTTGGCATATTGTCTCTTAGTACTTACCTATGTAAAATTATGTACTAAAATTTATTAAATATAAATACATATGTATGTTTGTTACTAGAACTAAACCTAACATTATATTTCCATCAGCTTAAATGCTTAATACTGATATTTCTAGTAGCTTAAATACTTAAGTAATTTAAGACAGTTAACCAAAAACTATCTTACTGCAGCCATGCTTCCAGATTTATCAAGTACCAAACAGACTACACGCTGTTTGGACTTGAGCAATGAAAATGTAGGATGAGGTGGTGACTTTATTTCTGTCATGGGAGATAAATCCTGAAAATCTTCAGAGCGCATGATTATATCCCACGTGCTTTTGTGATTGCACATTTTGTTCTGTAGGTTTGGAGCTTCTGTGTTGTGTGTTTCTTCAGTACAAAATTCAGTCACCTGGAAAAAAAATCAATTAGAAGACAAGATTACAATAACTTGTGAGGCATCAAATATGGAGTTATCTGTCATACATATTCTCCACAGATTTTATCTCCTGATAGTTAAAAACTACTTTATAATCTAACGTTTCGACATCCATTTTGCATAGTTGAATGGAACAGAAGCAAGGTAAAGCTATCAATACGTACTGGTAAAAAGTTTTGGTGATACTTTCGGTTATAGATAGATATATCAATGGGAGACTGTGGCAGCTGGCATGACTGCTTAAGTTAACTTCTTATTTTCCCTTCTAAATTTGGGGGAGCTCAAGCCTTGAATTAAGTTTGAGGAAAAAGGGACAGGACTTGTGATAATTTCTAGCTACCCCCTAAAAATGATATAGAGAAAATGGCCTTCTTTAATTGTCTAGGTATGTCCCATATGTTCATAGTTGACCAAAAAACTTGAAGACAGCTATTCTACAACCTGGATTGCTATTGACTCTGCCAATATCGACATAAATAAAATAATACCACTGAAAAAGTAATGAAGGTATAGGGAGAAAATGAGGAAATGTAATTATTTCTCTTTTAGAAGCAAGTGGTGAATTGTATCCAGTAATTCTGCCAATGAATATTTCATTACTATAGAATCTGTAAATATTTTTAAAGTTTTAAAATGTAGTAGCTTGGAAAAATGATCTCACAAACTAGGGTGTCTCCAAGAAGGAATTCATTTTGCTACTGCAAGATGAGTCTCAGCTTACAAGAAATAGTTTTGGTAGTGTCATTTCATTATTTTAATGCCCTTCCAATGTGCAATCTCCAGATGCAAGCTCAGAATTTGAAGAACTAAATTATTACATTTTGATATCCTTTAAGTTTGTGTGTGTGTGTTTTTGACGGAGTCTCACTCTTTCTTTTTTTTTTTTGAGACGGAGTTTCGCTCTTGTTACCCAGTCTGGAGTGCAGTGGCGCCATCTCGGCTCACAGCAACCTCCGCCTCCTGGGTTCAGGCAATTCTCCTGCCTCAGCCTCCTGAGTAGCTGGGATTGCAGGCACGTGCCACCATGCCCAGCTAATTTTTTGTATTTTTAGTAGAGACGGGGTTTCACCATGTTGACCAGGATGGTCTCGATCTCTTGACCTCGTGATCCATCCACCTCGGCCTCCCAAAGTGCTGGGATTACAGGCTTGAGCCACTGTGCCCGGCCGGAGTCTCACTCTTTCCCCAGGCTTGAGTGCAGTGGCATGATCTCGGCCCACTGCAACCTCTGACTCCCTGGTTTAAGCAATTCTCTTGCCTCAGCCTCCCGAGTAGCTGGAGCTACAGGCAGGCAAAACCACACCCAGTTAACTTTGTGTTTTTAGTAGAGATGGGATATCACCATGTTGGCGAGGATGGTCTCTATCTCTTGACCTTGTTGTCTGCCCACCTCAGCCTCCCAAAGTTCTGGGATTACAGGTGTGAGCTACCGTGCACAGCTTATCTAAGTTTTGTGTTTTTTTTTTTTGTTTCTAATATGGCTGATACATTTCCCAAATGGGATTATATTGGATGGGAGAAAAATGTAGTTTGCAATCAAAGCAGTTATTCATAACCAAGTCTTGCTGATATGAAATGCATATCAAACCTGGTTTCTCTTTCCCGTACCACTGTGCCTTTATTTGGGCCTCTTACCTATCTATTGCCATGGCCTCCAACTGCTCTCCCTTGCCTCCACAAATGTCTCACTCTATCTCATCCTTCACAATTAGTAGAATTACCTTCCTGAAATAATTAAACTTATAACATCACCAGTCTAAAACTGAGAAGATAAAACTCAAACACCTTAGCTCTGTATGTCCCCATTTTTTGTTTCAACCTCATTTCCTGCTTCATACTCACCATGTATTCTTTGCTTCTACCATGCTGGATTTCTTTATATCCTTAGAATATGCCAGAAATTTTGATTAGAGCCTTTGCTAACCCAAATGGTAATTTTGTGCAAATCAGAAAAAAGTATCACTATCTCAAGTTCTTTTACTGTTATCTGCCAGAAAATTCTTCTAATAAATGTTAAAATCTTGAATGACCATGATGCAAACAATTTAGGCAATGCTGAACTTCCACGATCATGCACAGCATCCCCGCCTTACTCCACTCTTTGCTTTTGTAAATCTGTTTATTCGTATAGAATACTCTTCCCCTTCTTGCTTTGGCAAATATATACTCACTTTTCTCAAATCCTAGCTCAAAACTTACTGTTTCAAAACTGTATTCTGACCTCCACTTGACAATGGTTGCTGTTTCATAACATCTTGGTTCATATCTCTGTATGTCTTCCCACTTAATATTATATATTTATTTTATCATATCGCTTTCTCACTAAACTGAGTTCCTCAAGAACAGTCATCTTTAATTATATCTGTGTTTCCAGCGTCTAATGTACTAAATACTAGGCATAAAGTAAGAATAATAAATAATAAGGAAACAAAACCGTGGAGTTGACTATTCAACATATCAGATTGTATCTTTCCTAGCTCTGAATTTATGCCCTCAGTACAGATACTATGCAATATATTTATGTTGTGATATTTAGAAAATTAGTGTTATTCTGGAAATATAACCATTTTATCCCTGGGCCATGTCTTATATAATTAGTTGCCCTCCATATTTCAGCTCCATAATCTTCTTCATTATTATTTATGTCCCAATTGGCAGCGTGAGTTATGTCCTGATAGTCAAATGCTTTTGGAATTTCTGGTATGGATCAGGCAGTACATACAGTATTCCCATTCGCCTCTTGTGTCACATGATTTAATATCTATTTGTATGCATAACTCTTTGGCTAGCCTTTGTTGCTCCAGATTCCACAGATTAAAGGGAATGTTCCTGACTCATGTGTCAACTGTAGTCAAGCCTTTTATCATTAACGCCCAAGGGGCCAAAGGAATTTTAAATTTTATCAGAGATAATAGGCCTTTGTTAACAAACCTCTGCCTATAGAAGTATTTTGGTATTGGTATATGAAAATACCAATCACTACCAACAAACACTTCTGTAGCAGAGGTTTGCAAAAGTATATGGCATATACCTTTGAAAATTTGGTATGTGAAAATTTGCTTCTTTGAAATAAGTTAGTCTCACTATTTAGAGGTAGTGTACTTTCTTTTGATTTGTTGTTTTTGATAACTTTCATATATTCCACATTTTAAAATATTTTTATATGTTTGGAAATGTTTATTAGGTAAGTACAATATGTTTGTATTAATTAATGTTAGGCTTATTCAGGAGAAAAAACAACTGGTTACTTTTCAAATATTTAATACCTTTTAAAAATTAAAAATTTAAAGTTTATTTTCAACTTGTGCTAAATGCTATGATAATACTTTAAGTTAGCTCTTGTAAACCCAACATGAATGACTATGTGAAGTTGGAATTATGATTCCCATATAAAAGATAAGAGAACTACATCTCAGATTTAGCAGTTTTCCCACAGTGGACACAACTTTAAAATGACAGGCTGGGTTTCAATGTGAGGTCTATCTGACTCCAAGGTACCTGTTCTTATGCACTAAGCTTTTTATATTTAAACCAGATATTTCAGGTCAAACATTAGTTTTCAACTTTTTTGTGGTGTGTTTTTATTTAATTGGTTAGACACATTGGTAATTGTGAATTTTTTTTTTTAAGTCTGTTCAGCGGAGAAAGAGCGTTATTTGTTTTTACAATATCAGTTTGCAATAGCTTGGTATGCGTTAGTGTAAAGGTAATAGAGAATCCAAAATATCAATCCTTTTCAAAGCTGCATTATAAATTACTTTAAAAAAGTAGTATGGCTAATACTTAGAAAGGGAATTAAAAGTAAGGTTGTAACTCTATACAGAAGTCTACAGAAGTCAGTGAGGGAAGAGATGTGTTCTAAGAATTTGTGTGACTCCAATGAGAGGGATACAATGCTACATTTGTACAAAAGAAACAGGTTAATAAGAAAAGATAGGGTAATTTCCAGAGACACCCAGTTACATGCTGGGTAAAATGACCTCTAATTAATTGCCTGAGTAATTTCTTGCCTTTATACACATAATTTCACAGTAGATAATCCAGCTTCTCTAATTATTATTTTTTTTCCTAAGGATTCCTTTGAGAGACTGGGAAAAAAAGGTACTTACAGAATCAAGGTTTTGCATAAACATAATGGAGTCCTTGGCAGTCTGGGATCTGTTTGGGATAAATGTACAATTTGCTTCATACAGCCCCGTCTTTGAGTCACGTCTGCATGGTCGTGTTATGCATCTGCTCTTCTTGCAGTTCAGAACCACATTAGCACCAGTAATATGAGTGGGACATCTATGATGAAATAATTAGAATATATATGTATATACGTGAAAATTCATGGCAAATCATGAATGAAGACCAATATCCTAAAATCTTTCCTTCAGTGACAACTGCCATAGATCATGTACCAAACATTACATTTTGACAAAAACAGGTACAATATTCTATCTCAATTTGTCATCAATTTCAATAGAAACAATGTCAGTTCATATTTATTAAACATTGATTGGTCATTATGATCAATAAATATATTATCCTTGTGACTTTGAGCTAAAGATCATAATTCCTAATCACAGGGATGTTGTAAAGATTAGGTGAGTTAAAAGGTACAGCAGAATTGCTTATTAATAGGGAAGGGAAAGTCAATATTATGCTTAAAATCCTCTTCAATTTCTGTATGTGGTATTCACTGTTTTGTGTTTATAGCATTTTGTAATTTATATTTTGAGAAACACTTCACTAAACTGGTGGAAAAAATAAAAATAAACCCTGCATGGAAAAGCTTGTGCATTCAAACCATTTGGTCTTTGCGGTAAAAAAAGACCTATGCCTATGTCAAGTCCCTGGCAGGGAAAGAGGGGCAGAATACAGGGAAAGGATTCTAAAGAGGTTTAAACACCAGCCTTACATCCCTGGGATGAAGCCTACTTGATGCTGGTGAATAAGCTTTTTGATGTGCTGTTGGATTTGGTTTGCCAGTATTTTATTGAAGATTTTTGCATCAATGTTTGTCATGGATATTGGCCTGTAGTTCTCTTTTTTAGTTGTATCTCTGCCAGATTTTGGTATCAGGATGATGTTGGTGTCATAGAAAGAGTTAAGGAGGATTCCCTCTTTTTTATTGTTGGAATCGTTTCAACAGGAATGGTATGAGCTCTTCTTTGTATGTCTGGTAGAATTCAGCTGTGAACCCATCTGGACCTGGACATTTTTTGGTTGGTAGGCTATTAATTGCTGCCTTGACTTCAGACCTTGTTTTTATTCTATTCAGGGTTTCAATTTCTTCTTGGCTTAGTCTTGGGAGTGTGCAAGTGTCCAGGAATTTATCCATTTCTTCCACATGAACTGGTTTATTGCATAGTGTTGTTTGTAGTAATCTCTGATGGTAGTTTGTATTTCTGAGGAATCAGTGGTGATCTCCCATTTATCGTTTTTTATTGCATCTATTCGATTCTTCTCTCTTTTCTTTTTTATTAGTCTAGCTAGTGGTCTGTTTATTGTGTTGTTCTTCTCAAAAAACCGGTTCCTGGATTTATTGATTTTCTTGAAAGGATTTTTGTGTCTCTGTCTCCTTCAGTTCTGCTCTCATCTTAGTTACTTCTTGTCTTCTGCTTGCTTTTGGGTTTTTTGATTTTGCTCCTCTAGCTCTTTCAATTTTCATGATAGAGTATCAATTTTAGATATTTCTTTGTTTCTCATGTGGGCATTTATTGCTGTAAATTTCCCTCTAGACACTGCTTTAAATATGTCCCATAGGATCTGGTATGTTGTATCTTCATTCTCGTTGGTTTCAAAGAACACTTTTATTTCTGTTTTTATTTCATTGTTTATCCATTCATCATTCAGGAGCAAGTTGTTCAGTTTCCACGTGATTGCGTGGTTTTGAGTGCTTTTCTTAATCCTGAGTTCTAATTTGATTGCACTGTGGTCTGAGAGACTGTTATGATTTCCATTCTTTTGCATTTGCTGAGGAGTGATTTACTTCCAATTATGTGGTCAGTTTTTGGAGAAAGTGCAATGTGGTGCTGAGAAGAATGTGTATTCTGTGGATTTGGGGTGGAGTGTCCTGTAAATGTCTATTAGGTCCACTTGGTCCAAATCTGCATTCAAGTCCTGTATATCCTTGTTGACTTTCTGTCTCGTTGTTCTGTCCAATATTGTCAGTGGAGTGTTAAAGTCTCCCACTATTATTGTGTGGGAGTCTAAGTCTCTTTGTGTCTTTAAGAACTTGCTTTATGTATCTGGGTGCTCCTGCATTGGGTGCATAAATATTTAGGAGAGTAAGCTCATCTTGTTGCATTGATCCCTTTACCATTATATAATGCCCTTGTCTCTTTTGATCTTTGTTGGTTTAAAGTCTGTTTTGTTTTATCAGAGACTAGGATTGCTACCCCTGCTTTTTTTTGCTCTCCATTTACTTGGTAAATCTTCTTCCATCCCTTTATTTTGAGTCTATGTGAGACTTTGCATGTGAGATGTGTCTCCTGAATACAGCACACTGATGGGTCTTGACTTTTTATCCAGTTTGCCAGTCTGTGTCTTTTGATTGGGGCATTTAAGCCGTTTACATTCAACATTAATATTGTTATGTTTGAATTTGATCCTGCCATTTTGTTACTGGCTGGTTTTTTTGCCTGTTAATTGACATGGCTCCTTCATCGTGTCATTATTTTTTACCATTTGGTATGTTTTTGCAGTGGCTGGTACTGGTTGTTCCTTTCCCTGTTTAGTGCTTCCTTCAGTAGCTCCTGTAAGGCAGGTCTTGTAGCGATGAAATTTCTCAGCAATTGCTTGTCGATAAAGGATTTTATTTCTCCTTTACTTATGAAGCTTAGTTTGGCTGGATATGAAATTCTGGCTTGAAAGTTCTTTTCTTTAAGGATGTTGAATATTGGCCAACACTCCCCTCTAGCTTGCAGGGTTTCTGCCAAGAGATCCACTGTGAGTCTGATGGTCTTTCTTTTGTGGGTTACTCGACCTTTCTCTCCGGCTGCTTAGGATTTTTTTCCTTCATTTCAACCCTGGTGAATCTGACAACTATGTGCCTACCTGTTGCTCTTCTTGAGGAATATCATTGTGGTGTTCTCTGTATTTCCTGGATTTGAATGTTGGCCTGTGTTGTTAGATTGGGAAAGTTCTCTTGGATAATATCTTGAAGAGTGTTTTCCAACTTGGATTCATTCTTTCCGTCACATTCAGGCACGCCTATCAAATGTAGATAAGGTTTTTTCACATAATCCCATAGTTCTTGGAGGCTTTGTTCATTTTTTTCACTCTTTCTTCTCTAATCTTGCTTTCTCGTTTCATTTCATTGATTTGATCTTCTATCTCTGATATCCTTTCTTCTGCTTGATTAATTTGGCTGTTGAAGCTTGTGTATGCCTCACGAAGTTCTCATGCTGTTTTTCAGCTCCATCAAGTCGTGTATGTTCTTCTCTAAGCTGGTTATTCTAGTTAGCATTTCGTCTAACCTTTTTTCAAGGTTCTTAGTTTCTTTGCATTGGGTTAGAACATGGTCTTTTAACTCAGAGACGTTTGTTATTACCCACCTTCTGAAGCCTGCTTCTGTCAATTTGTCAGATTCATTCTCTGTCTTTTTTTGTTCCCTTGATGGTGAGGAGTTGTGATCCCTGGGAGGAGGAAGTGTTCTGTTCTTTGATGGTTTCATCCTTTTTGCGCTGCTTTTTTTTCCCCATCTTCGTGGATTTATCTCCCTTTAATCTTTGGAGTTGGTGATTTCAGGAGGAGTCTCCGAGTGACTTTTTTTCTGTTGAGGTTGGAGCGGTATCTTTTTTGGCCTGTAGAGGGCGTTGCTGGGCTCTCTTGGGTTCAGTCAGGTTGTTGGGTGGGTGGTCCTTCCCTGGAGTTTGTTTGCAGGTGAGATTGGCCCCGCCTTCCCAATGGTGTCTCTCCTTCCCCAGCTGGGTCTTCCTGGTTGGGGTCAAGCTGGTGTATTTGCTGCCTAGCTCTCTAGCTAGGGCTTCAGTTTGAATACTGTGGAGGTGGGGCCTGCCAGGCCTTATGGTCTGTTTCCCTGTTTTCAACTCTGCCTCCCTCTGTGGGACGGTCGTCCTGCTGGCGTTAGTCCAAACTCTCATCCAGGTCCCTGTGACAGCTTGCCACACTGGAGGTTATGCCCCTCAGATTTGCATCAACTACCCACAGCACCCCACAGTGTGGCAGGGCTCTCTTGGACTATGGGTTGCAGGAGGGATACGGTAAGCACAGGTTTTCAGGTGGGAATGTGTCCCACCCTGTCTTGATTTGCCCCACTGGGCTGCTCTGCCTTGCAGCTCCTTCCCTGGGCCTTTTTCAGTGCCCTCAGTCCCACAGAAACGAACCCAGCACCTGGTTTGGAATCATGAAGTCCTCTAGCCCTCTGTGTCTCATTCGCTGGGAGCTGCGTTCTGGTGCTGACTTCTCTCAGCCATCTTGGCGCCCCCCTAGATACTTGTTTCTACTAATATATCTATTTTTATGACTGATTATAAGGAAATTCATTTATTTTTCATGAATTTATAAAAAATTTATTCTATACATTCTTGGTTTAGCTTTTACTTTATGCCAGGTCAAAGACCAGAGGATTAAAAAAATGTGCAGTTCTTAAGAATTTTAAAGTCTAATGGGGAAAATAAAATTGTATAGACAATTACTGCCCAGGGACAGAAGTGTAAGAGAAGCCCACACATGCTGTGAGAGCACTCTTAAGGGAATTTAAACCCAAATGGAGGGAGATGAAAAACAATTAAGAAATATTTAAACTGAGTCTTAAAGGATGAACAGGCATTATTTGAGTAAGGGAGGAGTTGTGTGGGATGAGGTTGAGAGAAATGAGTGCCCTACACTGAGAGAAGCCCAGTCTGTGTGAAAAACTCCAGGCAGCTCCGCAGAGATCAAACGAACAACACAGTGGAGACAAGGAGGGGCATTTTTTCCATTACTCCTCTTTCCTTGAATACATTTTTTAGCTCAAAGACTTATTTCCTGTTACATTAATTTCCATTGTTCTTCAATATTCTTTAAATACTCCATGTGCTTGATATTTTTAACTAACTTTAAACATCTTATCTATTCATAATAGTGCCTGTAGCACCTAGAATTATATTTTTTAAAAATCAATTTGCTACCTTATCCTTATGAAAAGTACTTTCTCTTTTTTTAAGATCAGGATTAAATCAAAAGTATAATATTGTATTTACCAAGTAGCTCTAGCAGCTTAACTGATTTCAATGAAACAGATTTATCTTAAAAAAGTGATGAATCAAGTGAAACAAGAGTGGATAGGGTTGAACACCTATTCTCAGATATCTTAGGGTTTAGCCTACAGCTTTTTCCTTTCTCCTCTGCCCGTAACATGTTTTAGCACGGTCCCTGTGAATACTGAAATTGTTTTCTGTTTCTGATTGATCTTGATGCCAAGGTGGAACCTCTAGAATTAATTGGAGACATACATGATGGGGCAGGTTGGATATTGCTATGAACTGCATAAACATTCTCAGGTAGTTACCTGAGATAGCTTTTGTTTGCCTAGCATAGAAAATTAATGAGTCATAAGTAAAAAATTTTGAAAACTGATTTGTTCAATATAATGATACCTTGTTGCTTCAATAGTGTTTCTTCTGGAAATATAGAATGGCTGGTCCTCATTATACTCATCAAATATTCCCCACCGGAGATGGGACCACTCATGGACAAATACTTTGCCTGTGAGAAATACTGCCATTTGTAAATTCATAGTTACAATATTTTAAGACAATTTTCTTATATTTCTCTTTAACCTCTCCCCAACCTAATTGAGTCAAGGTACTCCAGACATTGATGCCTTTTATTAGGTCAAAAAAGTTGAAATTAGTGCCAATAAATGACTCATTTTGTTATTACACACACACACACACACACACACACACACCCACACACCCTACACACACAGAGATATAATTAAGAACATAACTAGCATATTTTCAAGTAAAGGTATTATTTAATACCTATTTTTCTCTTCTTAATTTTGTTTTCTTAAATGATGGGATCTTGTTTTTGCTCTGTTGCCCAGGCTGGAGTACAGCGGCTTGATCACAGCTCACTGCAGCCTCAAGATCCTAGCCTCAAGCAATCTTCCTGCATCCACCTCTTAAGTAGCTGGGACTACAGGTATGTGCTACAATGCCTGGCTAGTTTTTAAAATTTACTTTTAGCTTTTTAGAGACTGGGGACTCTACTCTTGTCCAGGCTGGTCTCTAACTCCTGAGCTCAAGGGATCCTCCTATCTCAGTCTCCTGAGTTGCTGGGATAAGTGTCAGCCACTGTGCCTGGCTTCTTTAAAAATTGTTTAAAATACCACTAAACATAGTGTTCTTTATTTCACCAGTGGAAATAAGAACAGAAGTACATAATAGATATCTCTACCTCGAGTCCCATAGATAGGCAAATTATTAGTCAACAAGAAGTTTGGAGTAAAATGTATATATTTTCCTTTTTCTCCACATTGTCCATATTGAAGTGTATAGGGATCATCTCCATATTTCAGGGAAGGCTCAGCAACTATGACATCTGCCTAGATAGCAAAAGAACAAACAAAAACAAATTTCAAGAGGAACAGAAGCAAGAGATTTTAGAAACAAGGACTTCTATTCATATATATTAAGAAAAGTTTTAGGCCAGGCGCGGTGGCTCAAGCCTGTAATCCCAGCACTTTGGGAGGCCGAGGCGGGTGGATCACGAGGTCAAGAGATCGAGACCATCCTGGTCAACATGGTGAAACCCCGTCTCTACTAAAAATACAAAAAATTAGCTGGGCATGGTGGCACGTGCCTGTAATCCCAGCTACTCAGGAGGCTGAGGCAGGAGAATTGCCTGAACCCAGGAGACGGAGGTTGCAGTGAGCCGAGATCGCGCCATTGCACTCCAGCCTGGGTAACAAGAGCGAAACTCTGTCTCAAAAAAAAAAAAAAAAAAAAATTTTATTACTAATTTAATTACTAAATTAGTGATTACCAATTAATAAAGAATTACAAATACTGAGTTTTTAAAAGCACGGGGGAAAGAAGCAGGAGTTAGATGAAATAGCCTACCTGGTCATATGATTCTTGTTTTGGCATTAAGTACTCAGGCTTTGATTTCCAGGTCATTGGAATTAAAATGCTTACATTCCTGAAAAAAACTCTTCGTTTGGTGGCATAAAACAGATAAGCAGAAGCTTCAGTTACCATTGCCTGACAAAATTTAAAATACCTTGTGGTAATAATTTCACAGTGAAATGAACATAAAAGTACATATATAACTAGATGAAGCAAATCTAAGCCTCCTTTCCTCAAACATTTTGGGAAAACTAACTGAAAAATAGATTGAATTTTTTCTACATCTCTGCAGTCTCTAAACTCCTTATTTTCATATGCTCAAAAACCATCTTTTAAAGTGTTTTACCTATCCAAGCCTGCATTAAGCTTGATGGGTTGGAGATGGAAATGAGGGTGCTGGGTGAGATGTCAAAGTGATTAAGACTGGGAGCCTGTTAATATTAGTAACAAAGATGGTAAAGTTGTTTATTTAATCAAACAGAGGTGTTTCTGATTGTTTAAATAAATTGAGAGTTTAAAGTTTGGTAGATTATTATAATTGATGTTAACTGAAAAAAAATTTTGCTAGATTTATTTTGAGTTATCTTCTCTGATGGAGTGTGTTCATAAAAGGCGAAGTTTTACCAAGTAGAAATGAAAATAGAAATACATAGGTCTCATTGGCTTCAGGTCCCAGTTTTGCCACTTATTGTGAGATTGTACAAATCACTTCATTTATACAAGGGTAATAATTCTTGTTTTTGAATTCCCGTAGAGATATTGGGAGGACCAAAGAAGATAGTATATATTAGAGTGATATGTACAAAGTGTTTTTTATTATACTGAATAATGCAAATAATGAAGGTGTATTAATTTAAAATGTATCATATCTGATTTAAAATAAGATAGATATTATTTTTTACTTTTCCAGAGTTTGAACAAGTATGAAAAACTGAAAAAAATGTGTAGGATAAAACTCTAGGGCTTAAGTGTAGACTATTTAGCTGAACGTTATAAAAGCAACTTTATAAAAATAAAATTTGACAATAATTTTCTATTTGCTGTAATGTCTTTCTGTTAGCTTAACTAGTTGAAAAAAATATTAGGTCAGCCTTTTAATGATTCATTGGGAAATGACCAATAGTATTAACATGTAATAAAAACATATTTAAACTAATCAGGTATTAATCTTACAGTTTAGATAAATGCTATATAAATGATAACTACTGTTGAAGCAATTTTGGAAAGCTATCACTCTATGAATGTATTTAACAAGGCACCATGAGTTGAAAATACTTATTGAAATAAAAATATGTGGATAATAAATATTTCTCTTACCTTTATGTTTTGAATGAGTTTTTCATCTTCTGGTACACTGGGATTAATTGCAATGACAATGCCATCATATCCGTTGTTATTTAAAGTTACCCGTGAGCTTTTCAAAACAGGCAAGAGAAGCAAAGATAGGAAGAGAATCACCTTCAGACTGAACACCATTTTTGCACATGGTATAATAAACCTTTTGGAAATGTACAAATGGTATTTATATATCTCTTAACTCAGGATTTGCATTAAGACCAAAATATTTGCATAAAGATAGCATAGTAAATTACTGAAATATCTTAGCGAACTTCCTTATCTTACTCACTCTAAAGATTTAGTTGTTAAGTATCAAAGGGGATTATGCTGAACACATTTATCATACTTTCCAAGACAGCTGAGTCAGTAAGTATTCAATGAATTGAATAATTCTTTTGGATTGTGTAGCTGCCATCATAGCAGTGGGAGATCATCATTGAAAGCTTAATTGAAGCTTTTATCGTTACCATCAAATAGTATTAGAGATGTAAATCCTGGGATTTGTTTATTAAGAAGCATAATCTGGAGGGATGAGGAACTGAAATTAAAGGAACCAGGAAACAGTAGATTAAAAAAGGATAAAGGGAATTGAGTAGGAGTGACAGCATATTAAGGGTTTATATTTATTCTTCCTGGGAGTAATAAAAGCACAGTGGTTGAGAACAGCTAAGGGGAATTTTATTTTTATCTTTTGCAATAACTACTTGTATATTTATTTCAGACTTGAAATAGCACTGAATGTTCTTCATATGTGGATAACTGATACTTAATATGCTCCAGTTAAGCTTTCTTTTTTGGATTGAACACAAATCTTCCTTAGCTTGGGAAAGTTCTACTCATAGCATTGTGAGCTGGCTCTGCAGTCAGATACATGTAAACCTGATTCTTGCCTTGGTCACTCAACAATCAAGTTATTCTTTGTAAGAGTTGTGTGGCTCTTTTTTAGGCCTAATTTCTTTTCTGTGATATCAGACTAATTATGGGATGTTGGAAGAATTAAATGAGATAATACATGGAAAATACTCCATAAAAGATTTCTGACACCTATTAAGTACTCAAGACATATTATCTATTAATATTAAGCCTTATATATTATATTATGAATAAAAAACTTGCTATAAATTTTTGCCAATTAAATTCTATGTTTTCATTGCTTTTTTTAAATAAAACTTTTCAATATAGTCTTCCAGTGTTTAATTGGGGAATGAACTTGCCTGAGCTTGCCTGAGATTAGAGGAAAAACTGTCAGAATGAAACTATAGCCTTTTAAAAATGCTCTTGATTATCTCCATCTATCTTGACAGTATCCTATCCATATTGATTCAGTTTAGGTGTGGCCTTTCTGTAAAATCTTCCCAAATCATTCGCACTACACGTAATCTTACTTCCTTTGAACTTGTTTGAACCAGTATATTTATGTACTACCTGTATTGCATTTGTTATTATTAATATACATAGTATACCTCCTATTAGATTGTAAACTCTTCTTTGGAAGGAAGAGATTTTTTTTTGAGTGTAACCTATCAATCTCAATTTCATTAACTGTTATATGAGGACAGTAATAGCTATCTAGAAGAAATGTTGTGAAGGTTAAATGAAATAACATGTGGGAAAGCACCCATTATAAGTGCCGGTACATAACCCTCAACAAGTTTATTCTTTGCTTTTTCTTATTCTTTATAATTCATATGAAAAAATATGTGAGTGCTTCTAGGTTCCAGACCCAGTGGTCTGCTCTTTAGAGAGTACTGAAATGAGTAAAACACAGTCACTGCCTCCAAAGAACTTGAGGATTTGTTGCATAGATTAGATTAGAATACAAAAGATTAAAACAGAAGATAAAGTAAGAGAAAATTCTAGAAGAGAGTTACAAACACAGTGCTAGGAAGCCAAAAGTTGGGAAATAATTTTTCTTTTTTTAAATTTTTATTTCCATGGGTTTTTGTGGAGTAGGTGGTATTTGGTTACATGAGTAAGTTATTTAGTGGTGATTTGTGAGATTTAGGTGTACCCATTACTTGAACAGTATACGCTGAGCCCAACTTGTAGTCTTTTATCCCTCACCCTCTTCCCACCCTTTCCCCTGAGTCCCCAAAGTTCACTGTGTCATTCTTATGCCTTTGCATCCTCATAGCTTAGCTCCCACTTACGAGTGGGAACATACCTTGTTTGGTTTTCTATTCCTGAGTTACTTCACTTTGAATAATAGTCTTCAATCCCATCTAGGTGGCTGCAAATGCCATTAATTCCTTCCTTCCTATGGCTGAGTTGTGTTACATCATACATCTATACCATATTTCCTTTACCCACTCATTGATTGATGGGCATTTTGGTTGGTTCCACATTTTTGCAATTGTGAATTGTGCTGCTGTAAACGTGTGCAAGTATCTTTTTCATATAATGACTTCTTTTCCTCTGGGTACTCAGTATTGGGATCACTGGATAAAATGGTAGTTCTTTTTTTTTTTTAAGATGGAGTTTTGCTCTGTTACCCAAACTGGAGTGAAATGGCATGATATCAGCTCACTGCAACCTCTGCCTCCCAATTTTAAGTGATTCTCCTGCCTCAGCCTCCTGAGTAGCTGGGATTACAAGTGTCTGCCGCCATGCCCAGCTAACTTTTGTATTTTTAGTAGAGATGGGGGTTTACCATGTTGGCCAGGTTGGTCTTGAACTCCTGACTTCAGATGATCCGCCTGCCTCGGCTTCCCAAAGTGCTGGGATTATAGGCATAAGCCACCATGCCTGGCCAATGATACTTCTACTGTTAGTTTTCAAAGGAATCTTCACATTTCTTTGTACTAGTTTACAAAACTAGTACTAATGGTTGTACTAGTTTACATTCCACCAGCAGCGTAGAACTGTTCCCTTTTCATCGTATCCATGCCCACATCTATTATTTTTTGATTTTTGATTATAGCTATTCTTGCAGGAGTAAGGTGGTATCATATTTTGGTTTTGACTTGCATCTCCCTGATCGTTAGTGATGTTGAGCAGTTTTGCATATGTTTGTTGGTCATTTGTATATCTTCTTTTGAGAATTGTCTATTCATGCTCCTTAGCACACTATTTGATGGGATTGTTTTTTTCTTGCTAGTTTGTTTGAGTTCATTGTAGGTTCTAGATATTAGTCCTTTGTCAGATGTATAGATGGTGAATTTTTCTCTCACTCTGTGGGTTGTCTGTTTACTCTGCTGACTGTTCCTTTTGTGTTGAAAAAGCTCTTTAGTTTAATTAAGTCCCTGCTATTTATATTTGTTTTCATTGTATTTGCTTTCGGGTTCTTTGTCATGAAATCCTTGCCTAAGCCAATGTCTAGAGGGGTTTTCTGATGTAACCTTCTAGAATTTTTATAGTTTCAGGTCTTAGATTTAAGTCCTTGATTCATCTTGAGTTGATTTTTGTATAAGGTGAGAGAAGAGGATCCAGTTTCATTCTCCTACATTTGGCTTGCCAGTTATCCCAGCACCATTTGCTGAATAGGGTGTCCTATCCCTACATTATCTTTTTGTTTGCTTTGTTGAAGATTAGTTGACTGTAGGTATTTGGGTTTATTTCTGGGTTCTTTATTCTGTTCCATTGGTCTATGTGCCTATTTTTATAAGAGTACCGTGCTGTTTTGGTGACTATGGTCTTACAGTATAGTTTGAAATCAGATAATGTGATGCTTCAGATTTGTTCTTTTTATTTAGTTTCGCTTTGGCTATGTGAGCTCTTTTTTGTTCCATGTGAATTTCAGGATTGCATTTTCCAGTTCTGTGAAAAATGATGGTGATCTTTTGCTGGGAATTGCATTAAATTTGTAGATTGATTTTGGCAGTATGGTTATCTTCACAGTATTCATTCTACCCATCCATGAGCAGGGCATGTGTTTCCATTTGTTTGCATCATTTATAATTTCTTTCAGCAGTGTTTTTGTATTTTTACTGGTAGAGGTCTTTCACTTCCTTGGTTAGGTATATTCCTAAGTATTTTATTTTATTTTATTTTATTGAAGCTATTGTAAAAGGAGTTGAGTTTGTGATTTGATTCTCAGCTTGGTCACTGTTGATGTATAGGAGAGCTACTGATTTGTATAGATTAACTTTGTATCCTGAAAGTTTGCTGAATTCTTATATCAGTTCTAAGAGCATTTTGGAGGAGTCTTTAGGGTTTTCTAGGTTTACAATCATATCATCAGCAAACAGCAACTGTTTGACTTCCTCTTTACTGATTCGGATGTCTTTTATTTATTTCTCTTGTCTGATTGCTCTGGCTAATACCTCCATGTTGAATAGAAGTGGTGAGAGTGGACATCCTTATCTTGTTCCAGTTTTCAGAGTGAATGATTTCAACTTTTCCCCATTCAGCTATATACTGGCCGTGGGTTTGTCATAGATGGTTTTTATTACATTGAGATATGTCCCTTGTATGCTGATTTTGCTGAGAGTTTTAATCATAAAGAGATGCTGGATTTTGTCAAATGCTTTTTTTGTGTCTATTGAGATGATCGTGTGATTTTTGTTTTTAATCTTATTTATGTGGTGTATCACATTTATTGACTTGCCTATGTTAAACCATTTCTTCATCCCTGGTATGAAACTCACTTGATCACGGTGGATTATCTTTTTGATATGTTGTTGGATTCAGTTAGCTAGTATTTTGTTAAGGATTTTTGCATCTATGTTCATCAGGGATATTGATCTGTAGTTTCCATTTTTGGTTATGTTCTTTTCTGATTTTGGTATTAGGAAGATACTGGCTTCTTAGAATGCTGATGTCTTCAGCCATAGGGTGAGTAGGGAAGGACCATCGGGTGGGTGCAGGGCTAGGTGTGTCTGAGCTCAGACTCTCCTTGAGCAGCTCTTGCTGTGGATGCTGTGGGGAATGGGTTTGTGGTTCTCAGGTCAATACAATGATGTTTCCAGGAGGATTATGGCTACCTCTTCTGTGTCACGCAGGTTGTCAGAGAAGTGGGGAAAAGCCAGCAGTCACAGGGTTCACCCAGCTCCCAAGCATCCCAGAAGGCTGATCTCATTCCCATCATGACCCCCACCCCTACAAACAGTACCAAGTCTGTTTTCAGGCAGTGGGAGAGCAGGGTTGAGAACTTACCCCAGGTTACTAGCCTCCCATGTGTGAAAGCAAGCAGGGCTTTTGTGCCTTCCTACCTGTGGAGTCTGCACACTGCGTTCACACCCTCCCCAGATTTCTGGCCAGGAGACTTTGTGTTTGGTTGGAATTGTTACAAAGTTCAGTGGGAGGTTTCCTTCTCCTTGTGGTCTTTTCCCAGTATCTCTGGCAGCCCTCTCCAAGGACCGTTTGGACAAGGCAGAAATGACTCTCCAGAGGACCTAGAGAGCCTAAAGGGCTTTTCCTGCTGCTTCATCCACCCCTGTATTTAGCTTGACTCTCTAAATTAACTCAGCTCCAGGTAAGGTCAGAATGTTCTCCCATAATGTAGACCTTCAGGTTCCCCAGCGAAGGTGTGTGTTCACAGATAGACAATCCCCCTTTCCCATTTCCACACCTTGGGCACTCATAGTATTTTTGGTGTCTTCTGGGTCTTGTAGGATCAATTTGCTTCCTTCAGAGGGTCTGTGGGTTCTCTCAACTTTCCTGGTTTATTCCTACAGTAGTTTTGGAGCAAAAGTTCATGATGCAAGTCTCCACACATTGCTCTGTCTGTCTGTGTGGGAGCTGCAATCCAGTCATGTCTTCTGTCCACCATGATCCCTTAGTTTTTCCTCTTGTAGCTAAGCTTTTTAAAGATAATTATTTTGAATTCTTTGTTAGGCAATTCATGTATCTCTATTTTTTGGGGGTCAGTTACTAGAGCTTTTTATTTTGGTGGCATTATAGTTCCTTGACTGTTTACGTTCTTTGAAGCTTTGCCTTGTTGCCTTCTCATTGAAGAAGGAATAAACTTCTCAAGTCTTTTATTACTGGCATTGGGAGAGAGCAGTCTTCTGGCTAGAGATCTGGAGGTATCTCAGACCATTTCAACTGATGTATCCTCCTACTGTTCTTATTCCCTCTTGGGGGATAGTGTCAGGATTGTATGCCTTCCCTTGATGTCATAAAACCAGGTCAGGTAGTGAGAACTTTCCATTTTCTTCTCCTAGGGCTGGTCTGAGTGACCTGGAATGATCAAAGTGATCAAAGTTTTGTACCTTCTCCCAGTTTAGTGGAGTTGAGCCATCTGTTGATATCTGTGCACTGTCTTTGCAGGCTTATGTCTGCCATCTTCAGGGGAGCACATGCACTGTCTGCAGGGGAACCTGGGAAGCCATCTGTGAAGGAATGCAAGGTGCTGGCAGTGATGATGATGGTGGGAGTGTATGCATGGAGTGCTGTGACATGTCAGTTAATTGGGGGTTTCACATGTGATACACCCTGACAGGATTCATGGGTGGTATCTGCAGGCCAGCCAGTAGCATCTGTGGCCAGTTATTGAGATCTGTGTGCCCACTGCTTTGAGCTTCTTCTCCTTTTTAGTGCTTCTTGCTGTCAGACAGTTCAGTTGTGCTAATCCCCTCAGTGTTCTGGATGGGGCAGGATAGAACTGGGTTTCTTGGCATCAACCTTCAATGCTGGGAGAGCTGGGTGCTCACTTTGCCCTCACTTCCACCTGTGGAAGAAATCATCAACCAAGGGTCTCTTCCTCGGCACTGAGCTGTGCCATCTTGTGTAGGGAGTGATGTGCATAAAATGAAACAGTTCTTACCTACTTTAATGCATAAATTATTTAATTTTTTTGCTCCACCGTGATTCTAGAACATCTTAGCTAGACTCCTAAGCTCCCAAAAGGTATTATTGTCCATGGATTCTAAAATTGGTGTTTCTCTGGGGAATTGAGGGTTGGAGCCTCCTATCCCATTATCTTGCTGATATCACTCTCTAGATAGAATTTTGTTTATCTTTTTACTCTTAGCACAAAGTACAGGAAATTTGGTACATAAACATTTAATATACATATCTTAATGGCCTTTATAATTAT